TAACCCAGTCTTCATCTACCAAGGCAAATCTAAGAATTTTTTTTTCCTTTTGCCCCTTTAATTCTCTCCCCCACTCCCCAGGAGAGGGGAGGGTGAGCAAGCAGCTGTGGGGTATCTGTTGGGGCTAGCTGGGTCAAACCACAAAAACACATATGGGTATATGCTTCTGAGGTTGGCTGCTCAATCAAGAGGAAAGAGAGGTTACCTCACGAATCAAAGCCAGGATGCAGCCTCTGAAAGAGACCTCAAGTCTCAGCTTGACCAAAACTTGAAGAAAACATGGAAGTTTCATGTCAGAGATGTGCAACGATACAACTGGACAGACTACCTGATGGTTTTCACTTTGAAGGTAAAAACTGAAATCATCACAACAATCAACTGGAACATCTTGTAGAAATAAATAACTAAGAACTGAAGCAAACACATGGTATCAGGCTCAAAGTGACAGGATCATCTTGTGAATGAATGTCTTGTCACCTCAATGGAAAATTAAGTACGCAGCCAAGTTATTCTTACAGCTTTTTCCAGTCAAGTCAAAAAGGCAACAGATATTGAGATCAACTGCTCTCAGTTGTCTAACTCTCTTCATTTACTAGAAAAGCTCACAGTGAAGTTGCTAAGGCCAAGTGACATCAGTCATATCTAGACTTAATATTTCAAAGAACAGTTCCAATTAAAAAAAGAAAAGAAACATGCATATTTCACTATGATTCCTTTTCACTACATTCTTCATTCTCAACATCCTAGTATCTCAGGCCAGTTCTCTACTCAGGAAACACAACAGGAGAAAAAAGAGACAGTGATCAATAAGGAAAAATAATCGACTTTTTATTGGCACGTCAACCATTACCTGGTGTTCCACGGTAAAGCACAGTTTTAAAGATAACACTGGTACCTCTAATCCAACATAACAATATGGGTTTTTTTCCAAATACGAAGGAAAAAAAAAGTGATCCCCCCCCACCCATTTTGGTGTTGTGGTTGTTTTTTTTTTTTTTTTAAAAAATGCTAAGTCTTATATTAGCTACTTAAAAGCAGACATATTGCATACTGCCGTTAGATACTTCAAGCTTGACAAGACAAAAATTAATATTTTAGAATGTTGAAAGCATTTAAATCCCCTTTTTGCTTAGCTGGGAAGGAGAGAAATAGAGGATTATTTCCTTGTCTTTCCACTTCTCTCACTTCCCTACTTTTTGCAGACCTAAAAGAAAAGTTGAACACAATAAACTTAAGAGGCCATACATGCTACATTCAAATATAGCTGCCACAATGTTTTAAATTAAAATTTAATTACAAGTCTTTTCCTGCAGTGTACAACATATTAATGCTTACACGACAATTTTAATTTCAAATCATATAAAAGAGATTTGCAAAAAAGCATAATTTCTTTCATACATTGTTAAATTTCTTAATGCATTACCTATTTGAAGTCTGGGTTTTAAGTGATCTTCACATAAAAACAGAGGTAGCTAAGTAGAAATACTGTATTTCATATGAGGTCTCTACACATGGTGTAATAAAAAAATGTTTGTTCTGTCAATCAAGATGGATTAATTTCGAGACTTACTTCATAATAGTTTGTCTTCCCCACCCACGAATGCTTTCTTGCACAAGTACAGCTATTTCTATTTAGCCTTCGTCACCATGGACAGTTGCTACATCATTATGGAAACATAAATTCATTTTACTAGGCAAATATTTGAGTACTACTAAGTACACTTAATATAATAAAAAAACTCCAGCAACCTGTGTCGCAATTTGATTTAATTCTTTGCTGAACTTATTATGAGAAGTTGCAGGGGAGAGTGCTTTTAGTTAGATTAGGGACAAGTCAAATACTCAAAACACTGGAATTTAAGTTTGGTGTGCTTCTGTGCTGTCCAAACAATAGCTTATTTATTTAGAAAAATTCTAATAAACTCCAGCATCTTAAATATGTTCAAAAGTGCCTTTTCCAGCATGACAAAAGTGTTGATTAAGCATCACTAAATTTTAAAGTAGCAAGTACATGTAGAAGTCTTTCATAAACTGAAACACTGTGGTCCAAATTCTCTGAACAGATCAGGTATGCAAGATGTTCTGCCTGTCCAGAACTGGACCATATTTTTCCTCAGCCACTTGAAAAGGCAACGAGTAGAAAAGATGGAGAATTTAGCAGCTGCTTAAAACAGTTAAGCAGTGCAAGTAGGTGTACATTTCCTTATCAGTCTTAAAGATCACTTGGTAGGTTCCTGAAATACTGTGTTTCATTTCACATAATGTAAATGGGCATTACAAAAGAGTAGAACTGTATTTTGAAGAAAACTTACTTTCCTAAAATGTTCCTGATTCACAGCATACATACAATCCATAAAAGAAAAGGTTCAATTTTTCCATAGAGATTTAACACAATATTATGCTTAGAATCTCAAATCATGTAAGCATCTATTTGCATCTGCTTGCATCTGTTTGTAATTTTGCTTTAAGTTTTGATGAAATAAATTGTTGTTTTGTCCATACTGGCCAAAAAACAAGCTTTGATGATAAGACAGAATATAATTTTGGCACAGTATTTTTTAGTGAATTTCCATGACAGACGTACAGACAGTTAGGAGGAGGAAAGCAATAACTACTTAAAGATGACCACGAGTTATTAGCTCCTGCTTCTAACAGCTCAATGTTAACCTTAAAAAGCCCATTTTCTTTCTTTAATGCATTGCCTCATGGGAGGTTTAGTTTAAAGGGCTAATGTGCCCATCCTTTCATAAAAGCCTACATTCCCTGACTGAACTACCTCTCCTAAAAGTCAATGCAGTCTTCTCCAAATGCTGGCTACATTATGGCAGTAAGAGATTCTTCTAACTCTTGTTTTCCATGGCCTCTGTGACAAACCGTAGTTGCAATCATGAATGGAATATAAATCAGTATTTAGCTTTGATACGATTCCCTGACTTTGGCCTGCAGGGCATCGCAAGTCTTCTTAGCATCTCCCAACAACATGGCAGTATTGGGTTTGTAGAAGATTGGATTGTCCACCGCTGCATAACCAACTCCCAAAGATCTCTTCATTACAATGACCTGCACATGAAGGGTTCAGTTTCAGAAACATTTTATTGTTCATCACAATATCACATGTCAGTTGAAGACTGTGGACACTACACATGCAATGGCTCTATTCAATGTAACTAAGACAAAGCAAGATGAGTACTGATGGTTATAACATAGGTTTTTGTAGGGTTTTTATTTTTAGACTATTTTAAGAACACAATTCCCTGACAGCAACACAATTCAGATGAGCGTTTATATCAATATTTGGTGCAATGCTCTCTGGTACTTCTCCAGACTATTACTCTGTATTACTTCATAGACCGTATCAAAAAAAAAAAAAAATCTTAAAATAAGTTTCAGTCAAAAAATAAATGTCAAATTAGTTAATCACAGCACCTTCAGCACAGAAACTGTGAAGCTTTACCAACTTTAACCACAGACATATTTATTTTTTAAACTGCAACACATAGCTACACACAAAACACCAACTAACTTATGTGCCCATGACTCTGAGTACCTAAATGGCTAACCCACAGAACTGAGGCTACAATTGAGTTCAGAACAAGTGATCAAAGATTTCACACCAAGGAAACTCAAATATATGTAGTTTAGACCAGGTGATCTTGCTTTCAAAGAGCAAAACTGGTGAGATGACTAAACTGTCAGTTCATTCCAGACAGACTAAGCTCTCTACTCAACCCAGACACTCCTTCTTTTTTGGTTGGTGGTCTTCTTTGTTTGTTTAAGCATATTATTCAGTTTTGTATTTCCACTTCAGTATTAAAGTTGTGAGTCAGGTTCCCTATAAACTTAAAAAAGCAGGTATTTGTACAGAAATGCTTCAGGGCTGCAGATGTGAACAGAACATCATTTATTATCATAGAATCACAGAATGGTTTGGGTTGGAAAGGACCTTAAAGATCATTGAGTTCCAACTCCCCTGCCATGGGCAGGGACACCCTCCACTAGACCAGGTTGCTCAAAGCCTCATCCAGCCTGGCCTTGAACAACTCCAGCCATGGGGCATCCACAACTTCCCTGGACAACCTGCTCAGTAACTCACCACCCTCACAGTGAAAAATTTATTCCTAATGTCTAGTCTAAATCTACCCTCTTTCAGCTTATACCCGTTACTCCTTGTCCTATCACTACACTCCCTGATAAAGAGTGTTTCCCCACCTCTCCTGTAGGCCCCCTTCAGGTACTGGAAGGCTGCTATCAAGTCTCCTCGGAGCCTTCTTTTCTCCAGGCTGAACAACCCCAATTCTTTCAGCCTGTCCTCATAGGGGAGGTGCTCCAGCCCTCTGACCAATTTTGTGGCTCTCCTCTGGACTCTCTCCAATAGGTCCAGGTCTTTTTTATGTTGGGGGCCCCAACATTCTAATCATATTTTTTAGCAGGAGCACTTTCATTGGTCTTTCCTACTGCAGTCATCATTAGTCTCACTAAAACACCTGATGATTGTAAAATCATGAGTAGTGCATCACACTTGCCAAGTACTAACTCTTTTGTTGGACACCTTCATGGAAACCAGAAAAGTAGGAGAATCTTGTCAGCTTATGCAATAAACCACGTTTATAAAAGCATACTACCTGAAGCAGGTGCTAGTAGGTGCTCTGGTAATCTCACCTGTTTGGACTTCCAGACCTCAAGAACTGGCATTCCAGCTATAATAGAGTTTGGATCTTCCTGAGCTGCTGAATTAACTGTATCATTTGCACCAATTACAAGGACCAAGTCCGTTTCTGCAGCAAAACAAAGAATATAAAACTAATGAAAAACTATGTGGAACGTGAACACTGAGGCTGATGTACATTTTTGTGTCAAATCTCATCTTTAGAGGCAGAAGAACCCCTTATCGTAAGCACTCTACAAACATTTATGGGGAATTCATTCACAAATATTTTACAAACTTGTGAGGCAAGTTACACATAAGAGTCCAAGTCTGCTACCACCTACCTCCAGCAAACTGCAAGCGTCCACAAGCACATTCCAAGGGACCCAACAGACCACTTTACCACATAAAAGTTAAATCCTTTGATACTTAAATGTGCTTTCATACACACATAGTATCATCATATTCAAATTTATTTGTGCCTGGCTTGTCCTTCAAATATTAATTCAAAAAACCTTTAGATGTTAAGAAAGCAAGAAGTTGTTTGTACAATGCCATATTGGTTTGCAAGACATGACAGGATCAAGTCATCCACAACACCTGACTTAAAGAAGTAATAGTAATTTTCCTGTACGGAGCAGTAACAGTAATTAAAAAGACAGAGCATTTGTCATTTATTTCACAGCTACAAGCAATTAAAAAAAAAAAAAAAAAACAACACTAAAATAACCACCTGCCTTCTTGGTTCTGGAAGAAACAAGTTTCACAGGCCTATTTAACCTCCCTTCAATATCTACTCTTTTCTGTACACCTGCATTCAATATTTCCCTTTGCTTTACCTGTCTGTACTCTCTGCTTCTCAGTTTTCTGCTTCTGAGTCAGGCTACTTCTTGTATTCCTTTGGTATCACTTACCACCAGCTGGGAGAACACTCAGACTGCAAGAGAAAGACCTCTGGTCCTCTACAGTGGTAACACAAAAGGCACAAATTGAAACTGAATAGCCTGAGATATTCTATTTTTAAAATCCTTGTACGATGTAAAAACAGAATCAAATAAAAATTTACAAGATCAAATCCAATCTACTGGAAACTTATAGCTCGCATGCTAACCTGGGAAGTCTTCGTTGATCTCATCCATTTCCAGTACAATATCATAGGGAACACCAGCCTCTGCTAGGAGTACATTCAGCTGACCAGGCATACGGCCAGCCACTGGGTGAATACCAAACCTAGCAGGAAAGAAAGTCCAACCTCATTAATAAGTATTGACCACTGTTTTATACAGTAAAATTGCCACCTGTGACCTACAAGGCTGAGTATTTCTTAAGTATAAGCACACATGTGAATTAATGAAAAGAAAGGGTTAAACCTTAACAATATTGTAATTACTTTTCCAGTGTTGCACGCAACTCAGTGGGTGGGAAAGGGAACAAGGCCCATAGATTTGACTGCTCACCTGGAGAGCAGCTGTTTCTGCAAAGTTGAAACTATGACCGACAGAACAGGCATGCAAAAGAATATGCTCATTTTCCAGTAACCCTAAAGAAACTAGGATTACACTTTCAATCATTCCATCACAAGAAGACTCTTTCCAAAAGCTGTTGCACCTGCGAAGTGGCTTTGAAGAGCATGCTGGACACTTCTAGTGACCACACAGAAGGAACTCATGGCCAGAAATGCAGTGATGTGTTCCCAGGCAAGATGGACCAAGAGTGTATTTTCCACCCAGTAATAGCTTATACCAATATACTCTTGTTCAATTACTTTTGAAAGTAATAGGACTATTTTACAATTTTGTCTGGCTACAATCATCAGCCTGAGCCCCACCACACACAGCAAGCATTCACATCCACCCTCCAAACAGTACCGTATTTAAAACCTTGTAAAAGATACCTTTGTTTTTTTTATGAATAAGCCTTCTTGCTGCAACACCACTACCCACATTAATATGCTTTGCAGGTCCCTTACATCATTGAAAAGTTAAAGCACCACCAAGTAAATGAATTGGCCACAACATAACACTCTTCATGAAAAGGCCACAAGACTGTGCAGCCTTCTTGAAGCAAAAGCACTCCTAGACCTAGAAATGCCCTTGGCAACTGACATTATTGACTCGGGTATCTCTAGAGTATGCACAGTTATCACAGTCTAACGCTCCAACAGAAGAATTAGCAGGGACTCTGCTTCAAGCACAAGGCAATGCTTTGCTGAATTATGTTAACATGCCACTTCCTTCTCATGACTGATCCTAGAAGGAAAAAAAAAATTAAAAAGGAGGGGGACTAAGAAGGTGGACAGATAAGAAGTTACACAAGTTTAAGCATAACAATTCAAGAAATGTTTTCAGAACAGCTCAAAACCAACTTAGAGAAGACACACTGCTCATGAGCTCCTAAAAATTCAGACAGACACACAGTGTGGCAGCTGGGAGCGTTAACACATGCATGCAGTTCTGTAAAAGTAAAAACCTGACAAAATTCAGAATGGAGATGTTCAACTGGTTTAGCTGCAACTCCCAAAGACATATTTTGGTTAGAAGGAAATCTATTTCTTGTGCATAAACTGCACCCTTCTGCTCCTCTACTGGCCCTAAGTAAACTAGGCAGATCCCGTCCTGTGCATTTTCTGTCTTTCCAGCTCTGGAGCTATCACCAATGCAATGCCGACTCAAGCACACCAGAAATGCCTCAGATGAATGTTAAATCTAGCCAAAATTAAATGTTTAACAAGGAAGCCTACATGTACTTTGGAAAAGACAGAAAATACCCAAGAGAAAACCGAGAATTCTTGGATTTCTGAACAGAAATTTCTGAGCAGAAATCCAAGTGAGTCAGGAATGCAATAAAAGAACTTCAGACTTCTTCAGAAAAGAGGGGAAGACTGATAAATCAACTTGCCATGACAAAGGGATTGTCACGTATTTCTATTTTCAACTCCACTGCAACGGAAGTGGATAACACATCAGCGATAGTCCACAAGTGACAGTCCAATCAACACAGATCACTTGTGTACACTGTAAAAATACATCCTTAAAAGGGCAAGCGCGCACTCCCATCAGCAAGACAACATCAAGACAATGCAAAGATGAGACAATTGGAACTCCAAAAACAAAATTAAGGACATATGATTAATCCACATAATACTAGATATACCACAATTTTAAGCTCTAGGTCAAATACCAGGATAAAAGCTAGCTTTAAAATGAATGCTTTTTAAAAAGACAAAGAGAATAGATTGTATTCAGCTAGTAAACATTTGGGATCCTGTTGCAAAGGATAATACCTAGAATCAGAAAAAGGAGAGCAAATACACAGGACAAAACATAAACAGCTTACTTTTCACACCAGTCACTCTGTAATATAAACCATGTGTAGTACTGCAGCTAGTCCTAAAGTGTATCAAATTCAATCATTTACAGTACAGTAGGAGAACTCTTATTCTGAAGTACACTTGAGAAAACCCATCACTCCTCTGGCAGTGAAAATAGATTTTCCAACAAAATTCTCTTTTGTTTCTAATAAAACTATTTGAGCGTCTTTGTGACCAAAGCTGCTTTGGCAATACACAAAACAAAATACTCGTGAGGTTTCTATTAAATACTATATACACATACAATCCTATTTCAAGGTCTGGAAAGACAAAATGTAAGCTGCCAAGAGAACAAATTTCACCTTTGACTTCACTATTCCTGGCAAGAAGCAAAGAAAGAAGAAAAGAACAAATTATCTTTGTTCAGGAAGAGTTATGGCACCAACCATCAGTAGTTAGAGACTTCTGACAGACTCTGCTTGAAATCACATACTGTGTTTTCACAAAGTTTGAGAAAGCTGCTCACACAAAAGCTTTTTGGACAAATATCGAAGTAACTCAGAGAAATCTGCTTCTAAGAGCCTGTTAACCAAATATGACAGTAGCCTGCCAGTACCTCTTGAAACTATATGTGCAAGTGTGTCAAAAAGAATCATTAAAAATATGTGCTTCTGTAACACTTTATTTCACAGGGTAAGACCTACATACATCTGGACATTACATTAGCCGATCCAATTGAAAGCAGAATTCAGGTAAGCATGGAAAAGAGACAGCTAAAATCCTTGATGGTTCACAACATGTCTAACAAAAGCTGTGTATCTTGCTCCTGACTCACAACAGCAGTTCTTCAAAGCTATGTGCATTACAGCAGAAACATTTTGTCATATATGCTCTCCCAGACGTTCAACGTATGAACATCATTCATATTAAAAAACACAAAACAAAAATTATTTTAAAACAGATACATGTTTTATGGTAAAAATGTTTGAAAGTGAAAAATTGCTGTTTCTTTGATACGCTTTTAATATAAGTTATGCAAGAATTCCCTTAGGTTGGTTGGTCTTTAAATCAAGCAGAAATCTCACACTCTTTTTGACTTTCCTTTTTGACTGTCTGTTTACATGACACGAAGTTTTCAGTCTATGTATACTTTATCCGAAACAAAGATTCACAATCATGCTACATCTGACTTGAACATTCTTCTGGTAGTTCATTGAAACACAGAATTCACCAAAAATTTTTTCTCTGAAGTGAGCATACATCTCCTTGCTACTAAGACTTCAGAACTAAACACCATGAGTAGTAGGCTACTCAGCCTTTTTAATCAGCGTCTTTCAGATACATTTTTGCTTTAGAAAGACAATGCAGCACACTGAAAAATAAGTTAATATTTTGAACCTTTTCTTGAAATACAAAGAGTGCAACATTTTCTTTTAAATCTAGACTAAAAATCTAAAACTCCTGACATACACATCATAACTACAACAGCACTTTCAGCATACAAACCATTTAAATTCAGGGGAAAAAGGGTTACTTACAGTAGTATGAAGTTAATTATAGTAGTATGAACAAGACAACCATTGCATGAAATACTACTGAAAAATCTGAGAATGGAAATTACTTTTTATACAGTTCATAAAGTCAGCATCTATCCTTATTACAACTGGCTAGATAACATACTTGTAATAAAAACTTAAAGAGCTAGCACCTACCTAACCTAGCGCAGAAGTATTTCAAGACCACTTCATCCATATAAAGATAGGATTCTTATCACTATGCCAAAGCTGGACAGAGTGACATAAGTAAGTAATATCTGGCTGGTGCCTGATTTAGCTTACTTAACACTTCAGGAGCCATATATGCAGAGAATTTGCCCAAGGGTTTTGTCTCACATCCTCTTCCCCCTGCCCTATTCACTTTGTGTTTTGACACTTCTCCACCTCTGCTACCAGCACAGACAATAATCTGTTATTCAAGGTAACAGGATTGGGG